ACCCCCCCTACTGTGTTTTACTCTCCCTTCCTCTAACTAAAAAAGACAGTCAGGTGCATTCAGGAGGCCTCACATGTGAGGTAATTCTGATATTTAATGCACCAGTGCAGCTGTTACACTCTTGACACAGGGCACGCCATTTGTCTTACCTCGTCCCATCTTCATCATAAGCGTAGAAGTCATCCAACATGTCTACCTGAGCAGGGCTCGCTGTCAGACGATGGGCGTCTCTAAACGCCGGATGAGACAGCAGGGCCTCTGTGATACGAACATAACCTTTACCTACAACACACAAACACAGACCAAAGCTGTCACTGTGCTTTGGTACCTGCGACGGCTTCGCCTCACACTTCAGCACTAATGCTGACTTCAAGGACCATAAATCACCTGTGTGAAGATTTCCCAGCAGTCTTTATCTTCCCTAAAATGTAGTGTCTTTATCCAAACTCACTCAACAGCAAAATCACCAAACTCATGTTGCTTACCCCTCACTTACAGCAAAACAATCAATGCTGAGGGCCGTAAATAGGATACAATGTTAATTTCTGTGCTGTTTCAACTAGGAACAGTTTTTTATAAATCAAAATGTTTTGTGTAGTCAGCTAGATAGCTTGTATCTGCTCAGCTATCCTGTGTTTACAAAAACACACACACAGCATCTCGATCAAAAACACGTCTTAATTAATGTCTTTTTAAGCTATTGTGGACAAAATAAGGATGATTTACTGAGTCACAGTACCCATATATATATATATATATATATATATGAATGGATTTTCATTTTGAAATGAGAAAATCAAAAACCATTTAATAAATATGGAAAACAAAACAGGTTGTTTTTCCTTTTTATTTTTTTTTATTTTCAAAACAAACTGACTGATAATCAGCAATGTCTGACATTTTGACCCCTGGAGAGCACAGATTATCCCTATAAATGTATTGTTGGCCCTCATATACACTGATTCACAAATGCACACATCTTACTGATGGCTAACAGGAGGGCGTCACCCACTCTGGACAAATCCTCCCTCCCCAGCAGCAGCTCTGTCACCTCCAGATGTTCGTTGGATACAGCCAACTGCAACGCATTCTGGCCCATGTAGTCCACAGCATTGACATTCAAGTTGGGCACATGGAGCAGCATGCGCCGCACCTCTGGTATGTTGCCATACTCGGCTGCTTCCAGGAAACGCTGCTCAACCTCCGACAGGCTGATCGGAGTGGCAGAGAACATGTAGGAAGGACCACGAAGAGCCTGACGTCGTTTAACAACAGCGAGACGAGCCATAAGCTGTCTCTCAGAGCTGCTGTGCCTGCCAGAGAGACAGGAATCATAAACACAGTGTATAATGTACACATGATAACTTACACACATGCACATAAATGTCTTCATTTACTTGTGCCTTGTTTCATCTCAATTACACATTCTACAACTAAGACATTTACTTCTTCTTGTCTTAGGCTGTTACAAATACAGCTTTCACTCACAGCTGATGTCGCTACTGATGTCTTCTGAAACCTCTGAAAAGACATACAAAATCACGTCTTTTCAGAGGTTTTTTGTTTTTTATTAAAAAATATATATTTCTATGAGATGAAATATTGAATACCCTGGTTTCTGATAGAGATTGAAAATGACTACAATAAATATAACAATACAGACAAGGACTTTTTATGGTTGTAGCGCCAGTATTACTAATTTCCCAGTTTAGATTTTAAACATTACTATAATTAACCATATTTGAACAAAAATCTAAAAGTAGATACACATGTTCTTTAATCTCTGATTTCACGTTAATGCACAAAAGCTAAAAAAAAAACTACTAAAATAGGGTCAAATTTTTAGGAAGACACTGGAGGAACACCTATCACCACTCATAATATTCTAATAATGATATTGTGCTAATTTATGCCCATTTATTAATGGACAGAAAATCTCTTTTTCAAGGCAACTGCAACATTGGACAGTAAAGTATAGAAATGTAAAGCACCAGTTTAATTAAAATAACATGTTTTTCATTTAAAGTAATGATGTGACACTGGCTAATGTAACAGTGTTCAGGGTTATATGAGATCAGGCTGTGAAAGCTGCTGTCTCATGCACTGAACCACGCATGCTGTACAAGATATTCCAAGAAGAATTTGAGGGACTTCACATGATTAAACAATTTATTAAAACCTTCAGGAAATGTGATTTTTAAACTCCCTCAACATGTTTTTCATAAACATAGTAGTTGTGGACCATGTATGGTGAAAGAAAACAATTTCAAAATGACTGTACACTGTCACTAATGATAAGAAGATACCGATATGTTGAGATTATTGTAGCTTTAACTGGATTAATTGGTACTCTTATTTCCTTATCTTATGTATCTTTATCAGTATAACGACATCTAATATTATGCTTACTTTTCTCTGCCGTCCATTTATGATATGTAACATTTCACAACCATAATATTTATTACATAATTGTTCTACAATGTTATATTTTAACAGATAAATAGCCAAAAAGAATCATAATAACTTACATCACTTACATATTGTAAAAATACAAAATGATATTCATAATTCTGCTGTTATTTTATTTTAACAAAACCTGCAGAAGGTGAACACAGAAACACACCAGGCCACTACATGCACATCTGGCTGAGTAGGGGATGTAAATGAAAGACTTACCCAAGGCATCGTCCAGAGCAACAGTTCTCCTCTCCAAAGTCATCGTACATCAGCAGGTTATCACGGCTCCGAGCCCTGGGGCTGTCGGTGTAACCCACAGGTCGGCTGTTATGATGAACCTCTGGCAGTCTGTGGTTCATCCCGGAGGTGATCTACAACAGAGGGTCTGCTCCAGGTTCCAAGAGCGAGTAATCAGGCGTCTGTGGCATGACTCTCTCTTTCTCTCTGTCTCTCTTTCTCTCTCTCTGTCTCTCTCACACGCACACACACACACACACACACAGAGATACATGTGCACATTTATATGGCATATTTTGCTTTAGCAAGGGCGCGAAAAGTGCATTCAGCCCGGTGTATGAGAGATGATCAGTCATTGTACCACCGACCGCAGGGGAAAGGAGGACAGAGGAGATTGAGCTGGGAGAAAGTGGTCCCCAATAGTAATCACAAGATGATTAAAGCTATTTGCAAATGAATGGCATTAGGCTATATGAAGATATCACATATTTTCTGTTGCACAAATGCGTTTTAGGTTTGACCTTTCCTTGACTTAATTTTTGCTTTTTGTTTTGTGAAATACTTTCTACTTAAACTCTTTGCATGCCTCTAAAAACAATCTAATGTCACAGCTCATTTCCACAATAAGGCTATAACTTGGGACAGGGGGTTGCAAGCAGTGCTGGGGTGTAATGAGGTACTTGCACTTTAGAGTATTTCCATTGTGTGTGACTTTACTTCCATTACATTTTGAAGGCAAATATTGCACTTCACTGCACTACATTTATGTTGACAGCTTTGATCACTAGACAGATTATTAACACAAAATATATTCAGCTAATAAATGATGATGTATTTTTATGGATTAATTAAAAACTCCACCTTTACCAGCTGCAACACTGCTGATGCATACACATTAATGCATCAATGATCCTAATTCAATAATATAATGTATCTGACATGGGCCATTCTGCATAAGGGGAACTTTAAGTATATTTAAATGCTAATACTTTTTTTTTTAACTTTTACTTAAGTAAAGTTTTAATGCAGCACCAAATCCCAAAGAGGTTATGGAACCACTGAAATGGAAGATCTGAGGAAGGAATGAAGACATAGAAATAGAAAAAAAGGTTAACAAAAATGAGAGGAGACTAGTATACCGAGAAGGGGAAAGAAAAGGGCAGAGGATGAGAGGTTGAGAAAAGTCTCGGACAGAGGAGAGGTGAGAAAGGAAAAGAGGAAATGAGTGGAAACAAGGACAGACTGGAGTTGAGAGTGGAGGTGACATACTGTATAAAGAAGAGGGAAGGGGGTGACTTGAGCAGAGGAAAAGAAAGGAAACAAGAAGAGATGGGAGAGGAGAGGGAAATGGTTGTAAAATGATAAAACATTTTTAATAATGACTACAGTAACAGCCTACGGGCCTACCTGCCAAGAAACATACTTATCCAGTGGCTTAGTTTTTCTCTTCTTTTCATCAGTTTGCACCTGTTAGTGAAGTCTGGCTAATGAAGCGCAGTCAAATGAAGAAAATAATCGAACCTTTCAAGACCCGTCTTTGTCTCTCTCTCTGTGTGCCTCTCTATCTGTGTATGTGTCTGGGGAGCTTTTTGTTTAATTGGTAAACATCCACTGTAATGTAGCTTTTAGGGCTTTTTATTCTATTCTGTTCATCTGGCCAATTTGGCCTGTAATTACATGCATTTGTTTGGACTACATGTGTACTGCACGCTGTGTGGGAAGAGGAGTTAATTGTAGCTAACATTGTGTTTAGAAGAAGTGTGACATTGCATGACTACACAACATACATACACTCAAACATACAAATATATTTCGCCTTCATGAAAAATTCACTTTTTTTAGTCGTTTTTTTTTTACCTCTAATCCCCCACTCAGGTTAAAAGGACTCATTTAAATGTGTGTAAGCACACCTCTTCATGTTTATCTTTGTGTGTATGCATATACGGGATTTGAAAAAGGCAAACCACATTCAAATAATGTGCATGACCAGCTTGTAGGAGTATTGATCAAACTCAGGCTAATCTGTGGGCTCTTGTCAGTCTTTGTAATGAAAAGTGTGGAGGCAGCGATGTGGTGGGGATGTAGACCTGATCCCACCTGCAAATCCTTTAATTGAACAGCCGCAGAGGAAGCAGACTCCCGTGGGGAATAAGAATGATGGATCGTCAATTAGCTGATGGTGTATCTCTCTTCCACTTATAGTGTCTTGTTCTAAGGTGGAATCATTTGAAAAAAACAAAAACATTGTCAGTGATCTGTCAGCTAAATGACCAGTACATACACATAATTAGTCCATTGTCTTCATGAAAAGAGCATCTCCGTTGGGACAAAATGCTGCTTGGTGCTCTGTTGCGAGGAAGATCCCTCTGTGTGTGTGTGTGTGTGTGTGTGTGTGTGTGTGTGCACACATGTGTGTGAGTGTGTGTGGTGCCCTTTATGTGTCTTTCTAAAGCCATTAAGGTTATGTACTGTAATACTTCTGTGATATGATGGTCTTATTGATGCAATGGCTTTTTCACTTAGAAATAACATTCCTGAAAGTTTATTAAAAGCATCCTAATGCACATTTACTTTGTAATGCACGTTTTTCTGTTGCTAATTTAGTATTTCCTGTCATAATAGTTTACAGTGTTATCAATGCTACATGTCATAGTTTTAATATAAGGAAAGATGCTCTAATTCACTACCAGGGTAGTCCAGGGTAAGAAATATATTTGCGCCAGCCCCCAGCTAAATGCTGGTAAAATATGAAGTTGGCTGGTAGAATTCAGACACAAAGTAATGATTTATTATTGAGGGGTTGTGATGTGAAAAGGAGAAGTGTGAAAAGGATACCAACGTCAGAGGAAGGTCCTTCAGGGTCCTTTTCACCAAAAAGTGTTGATGAAGCCAGCATTAACTTTGTCATTCATGGTCTGCACCCTCTCAGTTTGAAAACTCTTGTGCATCACTTACAACAAGATGTGATTGTAATGTCTTGTGGTACAGTGAAAAACAAAGAAAGAAAATGACACTGGAAATGAAGAATAATCTAAAGGTTACCATGACTGAGACTGAGTTCGTCGCTCACACTACTGATTGCTGGACAGTCAGTAGGTGTTTCATTGGTGTCACAGCAAGCCTGAAAGCCTGAAACTTTGGAAAGATGCTTCGCTGCTCTAGTATGCAAACTAGTGAACTCAAAGGTTCACAACAACTCACGGTGAATCCTGGTGACACTTCCCATTCTTCAGAGGTGGAGGACTTATTTTCCCGCATCAAGCAGTTCAATGTTCAAGAAAACACCACGCAGCTAGAGATACCGTGGGTGTCCTGAAATCTTTCCCAGCAGTGTGCAATTTGTCACTGAAGTTCAACACTTCACTACCAGCCTCAGTTCACTGTGAGAGGCGTTCGCACTGCAGGACTGATTTTCAGCCCCAAAAGCGCATGCCTTGATTCAAAGAACTTTGAGAACCAGCATCTGCTGAGGCTGAAGGAAGGATTTTGGTTGTCCTGTAGAGATGAGGGAGTGTCTAGCAAAAGACAAAAGGCTTGTAACTTGAAGTGTTTTCTCATGTTAAAAATGTTTTAAGTTATCTTGCTTAAATGTGTGTCTATTAGTCTTCATAAAGGATGCCTTATAAGACAGTGGTATCAAAAACCACAGCTACACACAGAAGCAGATAAGCAGGGAAAGGAAGGAAATTTGGTAGTATTAGGTTAAAAAAACATGGAACTAAAACAGCAAACCAAATTGTCAAAGCACATGGGCAGACAGTTGATTTCATAATGAATTTTTGTTCATTTGAGTCATTTTCTGGGGATGGAAACTAACTTTGGTCTGGTTTCCTGAGCATCCTGGTCTGATATAAACACTATTGACTCAAGGAAAACATAAATGTAACATCATGTTATTATCAGACACCAGCAGTATTTGAGTGCATACTGTATATTGATGCATATGCACAGACGTAGGAGAGTGTTTCAGGCTCCAGTGAATGCCTACACAAAATGTGCAGTAATGTATGGAGGTGGTAGTTTTATGTCCTGTGGCATCAGATATGGTTGATGTGTGAGGTGTGTGTGTGGGTATGGAGTTATCACTCTGTAAAGCATGTGAAGTAAAGGTGGAAAGATCTCTATTACAGTAATGTAAAGTCCTACAGGCTCGGCATTAATGGCAGCTGTGAAATTAACAATGAGGGTGGAAAAGCACTTAACTGCTACAAAATGTTTGCTAAATGCAATGCAAATTCATTCTCGATGTCAAAAAAGGTCTCCAAAAGGGACCAACTTCTAATTACAAACCAAACAGAGTGTAAAAGAAACAATAGAAAAACCCTAAAATGCACTTATTGAAGGTAACAATAACGATTGGCTATCAGCAATCCGCATGGCTGACTAAATATTTACCAGACAAGCGTTTGTTTTAATGGTGACCTTGTTCTCTCTCGATCACTCCAGCAGATTATTTATACTAAGCTGTGGCTCAAACAATTATGATGTTATTACACAGGCATCAATAGAGTTTTCAGTGAGGAGGAAGCAGCTCTTCACCCCCGGTATGAAGCATATAATCATAAAGAGGCCTCTCATATGCATAGAGTCAACAATACTGTCAGTAACAGTAGTGACTGCTTTCAGGAAATTCAGCTGTTCAAAAATGTATTCAAAGGCTGCATGGGGTTGTGAAATATGTATTTGTATGTGTTTGGCCTCCTCCATCTATATGAGAGCTTTACCAGTACCAGAAATATGACCTGTATGTGTCATCTTTGTAAAATCACAGAGGGTGTGGAAACTGATGTTAAAGGAGAGCTCCACTTAAAATGAATCATTTTAACACATAACAAAGAGTTTTTAATTGGTTATGCAAAAAGTCTTTAATACTGATATACTGATACTATACGAGCTACACAACAAGAATAATGACTATTGCGTAATGCCAGGTCAAATTGTCATGTCACAAAGTGTCATGTGATAATTCTTTCTGGGTTTGTTACAAGCAACACCTTTTACATCACACATCGTTATTTTATATCAATTATTACTATAGAAATATTGGAGATGTAGCAGATTCATGGAGTTCTGGAGGAAATGTCACAAGACTTAGAATAATAAGACCTTTGAAATGTTGAGGCATCCATTAAATTAGCTATTAGTTTAAAATAGCTGTTTTGGTAAGAACTGTTTAGTGTCATTATACTGATTTCCCACAGTCTGCTTTTTTTTTAACCAACGTTTTGGCTTTAGTTTCTAATTTAGTAAAGTATGACACTAGCTTCTTCAGTTGTTTTTTTGTTTTTTTAGCTTTAACTCCAGTTTCTTCATATGTCTGTGATAAGAGAGTTCTGGCTGTGCAAGAGACTTGCTAAAAGTCACCAGCGGGGGTGACTGGAGTGTTTGTGAAGACAAAAATAAAAAATGTTCTCCTGGCAAAGTCATGTTTGACCAAGGCTGAATTTAAGCTTTTTACTTATATGTAAATATACGGATAGGTTTAGACTTTTGAAGAGTATAAACAGCATCATAAGAAAAACAATGTAACTGGCTTCAACCATTATACAACATAAACCTAGTGACATTGAAGTTTGACTTACATGTTGAAACCTACAGGGTCTGCACTCAGTAGATGCACAAAGAGAACAGTTTGCATATGCAAGCACAAATGCACATATCACACACATAGACTCACACACAATGCTCAATAAATGTCACTGTTGCCTTTGTATGTCTATGTAAAGAGCACCGTCTCCTCAATCAGTTCTCATTTTGACTCTCTTGTTTATGCTCTGTCATTTGCTCTGTACAGACTTTTGGGGCTTGTCTTGACCTCTTGATCGCCATAGCAACAATTCCCAGGAAGGTTTTTTTAGATCCAACCATAGAAAGGCAAACAAAAGAAGTGAAGCCTTCTGGGTAGACAGATTGTCTGTCTGCTCTTATTGTGTGTGTCAGAGATTAGAACAGCATGGTGTAGTGCTGCTCAACCTGGAAGGCGTGTGTTTGTGATTGTGATCTTTGTGATGTGCAGGGCATCCTTGTCTTCAGTAGGACAGTTAGTGACATATGTACATTTTATGTAAAAAAGTATAATAAAGTATAAAGCTTTTTAATGCACCTGTAAATCACATATGATTAAAAAAGATATGAGCATGTTGTACACTCCAGCTGTATGTTCATGTAACCATTCAAGGTGGTAATTTCTCCCTTCCAGATTATACCAGCTGGTCCAGGGATTCAGGTCTTTTGGTGGTAAACCTTTATCTCTTTCCTCCAGGCTGGCATTGTTATGATTTACGATCCGTAGAAATCCACAGCTCGCTTTGCATTTTTAGATTTATTGCTAACATTTTGTATATGTTCCTTTTTAATGCATATTTAATATGTTACAAATTAGATTTTAATGTGTTTTTTTTCCCTGTATTTTCACTGCAGTACTAAGGTCAAGCATGCTATATTAGCCCTATGACTATGGGCTCTACCAAATATATACATAGTTTTTATATACGGATCAGCCATTATATTATGACCACTGACAGGTGAAGTGAATAACACTGATTATCTGGTTATCATGGCACCTGTGAGTGGGTGGGATACATTAGGCAGCAAGTGAACATTTTGCTCTCAAGGGACGTGTTAGAAGGCAAAAAAATTGCAGCGTGAGGATTAAAGCAACTTTGACAAGGGCTGCCGGACTGGTCAGAGCACTCCAAAACTGCAGCTCTTGTGGGGTGTTCCCAGTCTGCAGTGGTCAGTACCTATCAAAAGTGGTCCAAGGAAGGAAAAGTGGTGAACTGGAGACAGCGTCATGGACGGCAATGCTCATTGATGCATGTGGGGAGTGAAAGCTGGCCTGTGTTGTGGTCTGATCCAACAGACGAGCTACTGTTGCTCCAGCTGCTGAAAAAGTTAATGCTAGTTCTGATAGAACGGTGTCAGAACACACAGTGCATCGCAGTTTAGTGCGTATGAGGCTGCATTCACTAATTTTATTAATTAAATACTGTACAATAAAATACAGCTGGTATAATCTGGAAGGGAGAAATTACCACCTTGAATGGTTACATGAACATACAGCTGGAGTGTAGAATTCTATTCTATTCTATCAGTCATATTCTCAAAAGTGTAACATCCCACGTATCATTGTACAAGTCAATGCGATATGTACACAGACATATATGGGTCCTGTAACCATGACACTTGAATAAAAGGATTGATTCATCTGCTATACAAAATTCTATCAACCTTTTTACTTGATTTTCCTTTTTAGGATTGCACAAAGTATACAAAGTGGTGTGCAGTTTGAAGTACGGTTTAAAGGTCCAGTGTGTAACATTTAGGAGGATTTTTTGGCAGAATTGGAATTAAATATTTATATGTATTTTTTCATTAGTGTAAAATCACCTGAATTACATTTTTATTTCCAGACGCCACAGGTCGCCTTCCATGGAGTCCACCACATTGAACCACCATGTTTCTACAGAAGCTAGATGCCGCTAAATCCTACACACTGGTCCTTTAAGTGTGAATACGACATGATGTGTGTTAGCTGATTTTTCTGTCAAACTACCACAAGGACTAAAATAGTATATTAGTTTATTGGATGATGTGAGCGTGTGTTCTCACATATTCTTAAGCGTTAAGTGGCTCCGGCATCTCACAGCTGCACAGCATATACTGCCCTCTGGCATTTACACTTAGTGATTGAGGCCATGGCCGCTGTCTACTGGCTGCTATGTTCAGCCTAGAAAGGAAATACACATTTCACAGGAGAAACGAGGAGGATTTTTTTGAACAGGGATTATTTTGAGGTGGTTTAACTGAACACATTACAATATTTCCCTTTATTTGTTATATACGATATATCCGACTCTATTTTCTCCCTGGTCATGCTTGTATCCTGCAGCACTGGAAATTATTCGTCCTTCCTTTTTCCCGCTTATCTTGCCATCATCCTCACATCATCAGCATTAATGCATTTAAGTCAAGGTTGTGGAGGACATGCCTCTGTTATTTTTTCTCCATAGGTCAGTGCATTTTGTTCCTAACAGAGTACCAATTATTAGCCATCGCTGTGAGGGATGAGGGTGTGCCTGTGTGCGGCGTGGCTGTTATTAAGAAGCCAGGATGGTTTCATAAACAAGTCTTGCACTAATGGAACTAAATACGTTATGTTTTTGTTCCAGTGCAGGCTTGTTTTTGTTGTGGCGGAAAGAAGGTTGTTAAGTTGATTAATGGTTTAGTATTCTACAAGCTGCTGGAGACTGGACCAAACTTTTGCGCCTATTTACTTTATTAGTGAGAGTTAGGTAATAACGTAATATCTATACCACTCTCACATCTGTGCATTAAATATGGAGTTGGAGCCAGGAGACTATTAGCTTAGCTTAGCATAAAGACTGGTGAAAACGGCTAGTCTGGCTCTGTCCAAAGTAAAAATGAATTTGACTAACACCTCTAAATCTCACTAATTAACAATAAAAAATGTTAAAATGTATTTTAAACACAACAGAAATGTAGCTTAGCCTAGCCTAGCTTTAGAAGGACTTAATGTAGTGAAATTATTTTTTAATGTACAATGAACCCATCCACTTTTTTTTCATTTTATGTCTTTATTAAAAAGCGAGATGGCAGAAAATAAGGGTAGAGAAAGGGGAAAACATGGTAACAGTTTAGACATATTTTAGAACTTTGGGCATAATCAGACTTCCTGTTTCCCACTGCTTTCTGTCTTTATGCTAAGCCAAGCTAATTGCCAGCCATGCAAGGGGCTAACTCATAAAAGTTATTAGAAAATATTTCAGAAAATGTCTAAATACACCATTAGTGGATTGTGTAAAGGAGTTTAGAGCGCTTTTGTGTATAAAATGTGCTAAATTGACTAACTTTGCTTTTCCTTTCAGGGTCGTTGACCTCTCACTGATGGGATCTTATCGACTTCTGTTGCCTCAAATTCCTTAACGCCTCCATGGAGCTCATCCAGGCCACCCAGGTTTCCTTGCTGCCTCAGGATGCTCCTATAGCTACCTGGAGCAACAACTCCATTCACCCCTTCTCAAATGTCCTGCTCCTGTCCACTCCTTCTGAACCACTTCTCGACTTCACCCCGAGTGACGGCTGTTTCCTCTTAAACGGCAGCTGCCAGAACGCCACCACATCAACACCTGGATCACTCCCTGGCTTGGCTGGAATCTTCATCCCTCTTATCTACGGGATAGTGTGTGTTGTTGGCCTTGTGGGCAACACCCTGGTCATCCACGTTATTGTTAACTACACCAAAAATGAGTCAGTCACCAACATCTACATCCTCAACTTGGCCATTGCAGACGAGCTCTTCATGCTGGGCCTACCGTTCCTGGCGGTACAGAACGCTCTGCTTTCTTGGCCCTTTGGCTCTCTAATGTGCCGTGTGGTCATGACAGTGGATGCTATCAACCAGTTTACCAGCATATTCTGTCTGACTGTGATGTCCGTGGACCGCTACCTGGCTGTGGTGCACCCCATCCGCTCCTTCTGGTGGCGTCGCCCCCGTGTAGCCAAGGCCATCAGTGCCACAGTTTGGGCAGGGTCTTTTGTGGTGGTGCTGCCGGTGGTGGTGTTTGCAGACGTTCTGAAGGATGATGGGAACTGCAGCATTGTGTGGCCTGAGCCAGCTGAAGTGTGGAAGACATCTTTCATCGTGTACACATGCACGGTGGGCTTCTTCTGCCCCTTGCTGGTTATCTGCTTGTGCTACCTGCTGATCGTCATCAAGGTACTGCAATTACGGCAACACATAATGTATACATTTAAATGTTATCCTCAGTGTCACGTCACATAGAAACACAGGAGTTGCTGTATTATGTCAGGCATTTGAGACAGCTCAAACTAACAAATATATAAATAAATGTATCAAATATCAAATACCCATAAGCCTTGGCCCCCTTTGCTATGGAGAAGACACCAGTCAGATGTGCAATTTGCAAATTCTGAACATTTTGTCATTGAATTTGTGAATCTGAATGAATCCAAAATTGCCCCAAAATCCAAAAGTAAACCCTTGTATTTTAATTTTTCTCAACACCGTACCCTTTAACTTCTGTCTGCCATTAAGCAGTGCACGTCACAGAATATTTTCATTTCAAAATGAAGTTCGGCATTCTTGGCATTCGCAGTTACCTTCTCCCCTGTGTGTATGCACTTGTGTATGTCTTGTACTATGTAACTTTTCATCAAAGAATCAGATATTTTCTATTTTTATCTATCTTGATGATTTCACCAGGAGAGTTTTATGTCTGTCTAAGCCATAGTGCCCAAACTGTGAGTCATGTAACATTTTCTATGGGAAAAATAAATTGGACTTTGACTTCCAAAACCACGGATGCGCGGGAATCTCTTTCCACTTTGCAAAACTGTTTGCAATACATATTTAAGATATTTTTCTATATACACAAAGAAATCCCTCTAAAAAAAGCTGTAGTGCAGGAAAGCAGGGTTTAATCACAAACTGCACAAACACATTGGTACACACTGTCCTCACTACTGGACAGTTCTCTGTTGATATCACTATTATTATGATGTTGGAGGGCACTGTACTACAAGTACACTGTGGCAAGATTCTGATTGAGAAAACATTTTCTTGTGTGTGTGTTTAAATAAGAAAGCTAAACGTTCTTTATCTTTTCTTTGAAAGGTGCGCAGTGTTGGAAAGCGAGCACAGGCCACGTCCTCTCGGCGCAGAAAGTCGGAACGTAAAATCACCCGGATGGTGGTTGTCGTGGTGGCAGCGTTTGTCCTTTGCTGGCTACCGTTCTATGCTCTGAATATCGTCAATCTCCTGGTGGTCCTGCCTGGGGACTTCAGGGGGCTCTACGTTTTTGTTGTTGTGCTGTCATATGCAAACAGCTGTGCCAACCCCATATTGTACGGATTTCTGTCTGACAACTTCAAGAGAGGCTTCAGGAAGGCCCTGTGTGGCACTTCACGTAGGGTGAAGAACAACGACAGGGCCGGCACTGAGGTACAGCGACCTACCGAGGAGTGGGGTGGCATTGTGCTCCGAGCACAAAAAAGTGAAGGAGTCATCAGTGTGCAGAAGAAAGATTGTGGTGAAAAGGAGGAAGAGGAGGAAATCAATGGAACGGAAGGGGCCATACAGATGAGTGAAATATGCAAAAGCTCACAAAATGGAAACCACAACGGAGTAACAGAGGACGCAAGGACACAGGTGGCGCAGAGGGGTAAGCCTGAGCCGGATCACTCTGGTCCGAGTGCCAAAAATGGAGAACTGGCAGGGAAAGGCCCAGGCTCTGATCCTGCTGAGGCAGTGTCCTCTATGGCCAGTAAAAATAGAAACAGCATGTTACAACCTGAAGAATTCCCAGGCAAACACTCTGTGCTTGAAATCAGCTATCTGTAACATGTTAACATGTTTTCAGTGGAGATTCAGTAAAGTGTTTCTCACAGATATTTAAAACGTCTGTAAGTATTACAAACAGCTGTGGATAACAGATTACAGTGTTAGATTATGTGGAGTGACTCTTTTATAATGTGAAAATCTTTGAAGTTGTGGGTTCAGTTCATGTTAAGTCTGAACATATCAATGCTTGTTTTTGGCATGGTGTAAAAATTATTATTTTTACAATATATAAAAACAGGCATGATGGATTGAAACCAATCGAGAGGTGGGAAGAACAAATCAAAATATTTAAAAAACTTGAACATACTTGAACCAGATCCTTGGGAATGTCTGACAGTATTATGGAGACAAGTTAAAACACTGCTATGGTCATTCTTCTTGATATTTGGTAGATTTCTAACTCTAACAGTGAGACTTTTTTGCCAACTGCTATGGTATGACCCCTTTAAACTATAAACACTCAGATTTTAAAATGTTTTTCCTATATGTATTTACTGCTGTCATGTTTACGAATACCTTTTCACCTTTTTTTTTTTAATCAGAAACATCTTGGTCTGAAATGGCTAATGCACTGTATGAATCATATCCCAGTGGGGGATGACACAACACATGATGATTGTGAAATGAAAAATGTCAACTATGTTTACCTTTTACTTTGGCTTTTACCAACACATAAAAATAGTGCCAGACCACTTTCTACATAGGTGTGTAGAAAAGAGATAATTATTGTTATTATTGTTTGTATTTACTTATTAAATCATCTTAAAGATCCAGTGTGTAACATTTAGGAGGATCTATTGGCAGAAATGGAATATAATA